GTAAATTAATGCTTGATTTACATAGTACAAAATATAATTTAATATATATAAAAATATATTTATACTTAGAAATACAGTTGCCCGCGACTTCGTATGTACGGATTAAAAAACTTAGGTTTTTTTTTCTACGCATATATTAGATATTTCTAGTAAAAGTATGGTCAAAATTGGTCCAATCTAGTAAGAACTTTTAAGGAAAATGGATATAATTAAGTTATCGGTACAATAAAGTGAACTTTACACACTGTTTGATTCAGTAACTTTTTAAATCAATTATGAAGTACAGAGAAATGTACGATTGTCTATTTTAATTGCAGATTATAAAAATATTTATTGTGATAATTGTGTTGACATTTCTGAAGCTTTATTTTTTTTAGTAGAAAACAATTGTTTTTTTTTATCAAAACTTTTTATATATAAGAGTGACATGTAAAGATGTTTTTACAGTAATGTATTCCAAATTGAACGTGTACTTAAATCTTTGTACTTGAAAATATTTATTTTATATATTTTGACTTTGTAAAGCCTTGAGATGTGATATAAATGTTAATAATTTTATTTTGTTTGATTTTTTATTTGAATTTCTTTTTACGTATTTTTTTTCAATTACCGACGATTGTGTACGATGTTGTAAATTAAAAATATATATAGCAGTTTAATAATTTATTTGAAAATAGTAACGAAAACATAATAAAATGACTAAATTAATATTCAAACTTCCAATTAGTTACTTTAATGGATGTATTTATGATTACGGAAGAAAAATGTATAATAATATTTATGTATACAAAGATGTATTAATTATAAATATTGCAAAATAAAAGTGTTAATGTTGGCAAATAATAGTTTTTTTTTTCATATTATAGTTTGAGAATAGATGTTTCGGAAATAAAAAAAAATATTTTTGTCCATAACAAAAAATTACTATACTCTAGTACAAAACCACGAACACGAAACATTTAATTCTTAATCCAATATCTAACAATATTAAGTTTCCTAAGTGACAAAGATAATGAGGAGAAAAACTGAAAGCTGTAAGTAGGTTGCGCTAGTGTCAAGAGTGAGCTGTCATCTGTCAAAATATTTATACGTCATTCTAGATATTTAAAAGAAAATCATCATCAGCTCACTATACGTCCCCACCGAGGGGCTCGGAGCCTACCCTAAGTTAAGGGTGAAGTTAATTAAGATAAGTTAATCTTGTTAATAATAATTTGAGGGAATTCGCTATGACTACAGTTCACAAAGTACTTTTTTGTATATTAGGGCTACAATTACTCTTGATCGTGCCGACATCTAGAGAGCAAAATGCAGTTTTTCTCCCCATAAACACATTAACTGCCAAATATACACGAATCTTTTCATTTCACGCCAGCTATATTTCCGAACGATAATTATAAAACCTATAAAGAACGAACTATATTTTAATAGACCGACAAGGATATCTGACACGGATCGTATAATTCCAACTAAATTATGACAGCACACTAGCGCCCCTCTGTCTTTTTAAAAATGGTAACGAAAACCTTTTCTTAATATGGCTATCATGTTTTTTCTTTTATGCCATTTCTATGTAGGTTCCACATATTTTCTGACAGATTTAACCGCGATAGCAGCGCCCCTCTCAACGGGCCAGATATCTTTGTTTGACTATATGATTGAAATGTCAATAATGTGTGATGAATGAACGAAATGTCAAATGAATTGTCGCGAAATGTGCATGATCTTAAATGAAGAAATAATTTAAATAATTAACTTTTAAAATTAATCGAAGACTTTGATGGTCCTCTAAAGAGGAATGTTTGTCAAGCAGCACTTATTTTAACATGGATTAATATTTATAATTATAAGAAAACCACACAACGTCTTTTCCCGCCGGGCACTTTATCCATATTTCTAGAATAAATCATCTAGAACTGTATTTTTAAACTTCTTCATAGCCTGCTCTTCCATTTCTGCGATGGCTTGAATGATATCTTTTTTATTATTTTTCTTCAAAACATCTGCTGTTTTTAGATCTGTACACATTTTATCTGTATCTGTGCCTTTAATCTTTGACGATACTGATGTAGGTAAAGAATCATTTTTTATTTCATCTATGTTTTCATTTTTGACATTTATAGATTGTTCATCAAGAATGCTTTCAGAATGTAAATCATTCTCATTCTCTACAACATCATTCAATGCGTTAGTAAAGCTCAAATTTTCTGTATCCGTTGAATTACTTTCGTTTAGAAAATCATATTCCTCACATTGAACTGGTTCTTTTTGTTTTATAAAATTTTCAACATCTAATCCATCGCCACCAAATTTACTTGTTTCATACATATTATCATTTATTTTGCAATTTTGTTTAGAATTTGTGACTTTATTTGAGTCAATATTAGGTTCAAAATGTGTTTGATTTGTTTGAAAAGTATCAAGACCATTAGAAGTATTAAAATTATCAAGATAATTATTTCCGTCAGTGGCAGAATCTGATTCTATTGTCTTTTTAGAACGTTTTATTTTTGTGCCAGTAGCGTCTTTATTTTTTCTCGAAACTTTTATTTTAGGTGATATTTTCTCTTGTATTAACTGAAATTTAATTTAGATTATTCTCACAAGAATTTAACACATTCAATGCTACTATGAATTATGAGTATTAAAGAGAACTGGTAGTATGGAATGTTTTAAACAAGAGCTTTTATTTTAAACTACCTGTCGTTCACATGAAATTAAAAAAAAACTTAATAGTAGACTATGTGTTCTTCCAGACTATGTTCAACATCTGTAGAAAATTTTATCAAGATCAGTTCAGCTGTTATGGAGATACTTTCAAACAAACATCCATCCATCTAAACATTCGCATTTATAATATATTAAGATTACCTCTGGTTTCTTTGAAGGTGTAAAATCATCCTTTATAATAACAATGTCTTCTAGAAATGAATTCAAAAGTTTTGCCCGAGCCAGCGGCAGACCTTCCACATCCGATATTGAATCAATATATTTGTTTATGTCAAACTTTTTCTCAGAATACAACCAGCAATAGATTGAATTGAACATTTCCACATCTTTCTGAAATAATAGATTGATTCTATGTTAAATTATAAAAATCACAATTAAAAAAAATGCACATGAAAGTCAGATTTGTTTAGTGCAAACCTATCTGGTTTAGTCTATTGCAGTCTTTCCCAAAGTGGGCGAAAACGCCCCCTTGTGGGTGCTGCAGGTCTCAAGTTGCGGGTTATAGTAAAAGTTTCGTTTAGAATTCTCCGTTAATATACATATATAGGTCACAATAATTAATTAATTTAATTTGAAATTATAGTGGTTTTTAAATATGTTAAAATATGGGGGCGCTAAAAAAATATTTATTTTCAAAGTGGGGAGTAGACAAAATAAGTTTGGGAACCACTGGTCTATTGTTTTGGAAATTTCTTTTGATAATCATTCAAAAAATGGGTACTAATCTGTATTAATATATAAAAGAGAATTGATTGTACAGTTTTCTTGTCTAACCATTGGTTAAAATACCTGTGCAAAACTGTATGTTTTATACAAGGACTATGGTCTAAGAAACCAACAATAAGTGAACTTGCAGGATCAGTTCCCACTGAGTGTTTAAAACGAAAAACTAATACTATAAATGATATAAAATACATACCCTCATGTCAATAGTAGTCAACCAGATTTTAAAAGTGGCCTTTATAGGTGTCTTCATAAGTTGCTTAAGTACAAAGTCACTCTTTACTACCACAACTCCCCAATCTCTGCGGGAATAAGGTGCTTCCAAGTGTGTGCCTTTTTTAAGAAATATTGTTTTTTTAACATACACATTGCTAGAGTCAACCACTATATCATCTGAAAATAAATAAAATATGAGGATCTATTAAATTTTAGCAAAAAAAAGAAGTAGAAATAACCCAAAGTTTTATGTAAATAAGCAATTGGGAAGACCCAACAGAGCTGTGCGCTAGTACAAAATAAAGTTAAACATTTATATATTTAACAAGAGTACAGAAGTAACATTTTGAAAGGGCTATATAAAAAAAAGGGTTATTAATCTTTGGTCTAGATACATATATATAAATTGTTTATGAGAAATTATATCTTTGTTCATGAGATCATGAGAAATAAATCAACCATGGGTTGAATTATATTTTATTTCTGATTAAGACCTTGTTATTATACTACAAGTAAACATTATTCTAGTAGAAATCTGAGTTATCTGATTCATAATTAAGTTTATTCACTATTACAACACAACCACATCCATAATCCGGAGGGGTAGAGACCACAGACCTGCATTTAGCATGCTTCATGCCTCTCGCTTCCACATTCATACATGCATATGCAGTTTTGGGTACTGGCAGTGTTGGGTATTTACTATTCCTTTGCAAATAATAAAAAAAACCATGAAGCGCAGTTACATATGGCTGCTATAGTGGCCATACATGTCTTTCACTTCTTCCACATGGAAGACAGATCCAGACAAATGAAAATCTGTAATTTTTACCTACTTTTGAGGTACATTATGTTAGAAATTACATTTTAACATACCTTCAGTATATTTCGTCCATTTTATAAGAGTTTGTTTCCAATTGTTTACTTTATTTTCATCTTCACACAATATTAACACTGGATTCGTAAGTAATTCTCGAATTGCATCCAAGAAAAAAGAAAGTTGTATTGATTTTCCGTAACCATCCGGATTGTTTAGTATAACACCAGGCTTTTTCTGCAAGTAATTAAAAAAATTACAAAAATAGAAAATTCTAGTTGATTTTAGAAAAATAAGAAAACAATTTTAGAGTATTCTGTATTCCAACAATGTCCTGTAACTATTCATGTCAAAATCTACTGGTTTAAATTAGCTAAATAACAGTAGTACTATAAACAGTAAGTTATTATAAAGATTATGTATTATTACCTTTATATATTGCCGGTACAAAGATCTAATGCCTTCAATCTGGTGCTGAGCGAGATCACAAGTGTCTACATACACCTCTCTCTGTCCTCTATCAAGATATAGTCGTTCTTTCACAGGTTTCTTTATATCAGTCATTTTAAAGCCTAAATGAACTTAATGTCTAAAACAATATAGTTCAATATTTAATACAATACTTTGTCAAAGGCCATGAAAAATTAGAAATATATGAAATTGTGCTTTAAATTGCAGTATGGGTGTGATTAAAAATTGCTACCTTTTTTCATGCATAGAATTGGAAACAATCAGACTTGTTTAATGGTTGCTAATAGAGTCTATTATAGCATAGATTTCTCTAATATACACTAAGGGATAACTGTGTGTAGCAGTTAGTCATTCCCTATTATTAAACACAGTTTAGTTAGTATTTTACAGTAGATTTATATAGAAATATATGTGGCATAAACTATTTCACATTATTTAAATACTTACGTTACTTACGTCACTGGCTTGTATTGTTAAAAAAAAATTATAAAGACGAGTTTCTATTCAGTTGACATAAAATAGACAATGTCATGATTAAAATATACAGCATTTCGAGATAGAAAAGCGCCAAAAACACAGGAACACTCGTTTTATGTACTTCTAAGTCTTCAAACTCCTGCATGATGTGTTTATTACGATATACATGATCCCAAAACATGGATAACGTTTTAAACTCTTATTTCTCAATTAAACACAATAATGTTATGTTTTCTCAATATTACTTATCTATAATACACATTTTTAAAGTATTTAATACACAACGAATCAAAATCCCAATAGTTCTTTGAACGTAAAAAGAAATAAAATAAAACTAACACCTTTATGTTTTGCGGATGATTATGTCAAGAATTTTTTCACTGTATATTTATTATATTTACACAGTATGTTTCCTTTATCTTCTTAATTTTGTAAGTTATCGTATTTAACTACTCTTAACACTCTTATTTTCTATAAATGATTCAAGAATTTTACATTTATTTATCTCGTATTCGTGTTTCGCAGTTGGTGCTTGTCAACAACTTGTCAAAGTCATTTGCCAGTATCTTCGGGACCTTGCCTAAAGGGACTCCTTTTATTAACATATTTTAGTTAATTATTCGGTTTTTTATTTTTTATTTTATTTTATATCATAGATTTAAGAGTTTATGTATTATAAGTATATATATGTATAAGGATGTAAATAATTAATAAAAATGATTGACTTTGTCAACAGATGTCAAAAGTAAAAAGATTTTGTTTCACGAGTCTCTTATTTTATATACACTTTGGTTTTATTATTAAACTAGTTATCGCCCGCGACTCCGTCCGCAAAGAAATAAAAAAGATAAATTTCTAGCCTTCCTTCTTCCAGACTATGGTCAATGAGTGTAAAATTTCATCGAGATCCGTTCAGCGGTTCTGGAGATACCTTCAAACATTCATCCAAACATTATCGTATTATCCGTGTATAAGTTGAATCGGTCAGTATTAGTTGGTATCTTTTAGTGATATTATTTTGTCAAGAATTGCTACTTTGAAATGGGGTTGAGGAAGGCGTGATTAAAAAACAGTCAGCTTAAAAATAGAATGTATATTGGCAGTTTGACTCCATTATAAAATGCGTATAAAAATTGTAAAACAAATAACACTTTCCCTTAGATGTCTTATTCAACATTTTAAATGTATATTTTCTTATTCGTTCTTGAAGTTAGGAGATCTCTTGTCCACAAATGCTGTCATACCTTCTTTGCGGTCCGCCTGTAAACAATAGAAAACAAAACTTTATTCAATGACTTTGTTTTTTTTATGATATATATTTTTGTTATGATATATTCTCATAAAATAGCTTCAATTTTATTTTATTTATTTTGCTAAGCTACTTCAATTAAAATACATACTTTTAGAAAATACCTATAAAAAACCTAAACAAACAACCACAGTAGGTTTTAAGGAACACAGTTAATATTTTGAATTTGGAACGAAAAATATGTTTTTTTTTGTCATACTTTTTTAAAAATTTTATGACCTGGTAACATAGACCTTTAGGTTTTTTGACATACCGTAGCAAAAGTGCCATAGAATATGGATTTCTCAAAGAGTAGTCCAGATTTGAGAGTGGTCTCATATGCTTGGTTGACGGACTGCTTGGCCATCTTGACGATGAGCGGGGAGTGTGTGCCAATCCTCTCCGCCAGTTTGATAGTTTCCTCTAGCAGTTTCTCAACTGGGAAAACTTTGCTGACCAGACCTGGATATAAAACAATTAACTACATTTTATGTAAAGTTATTTGCATGACTATTCTAAACACAGTTCCTTAATCTACATATTGCACATTTTATTGTGGGTTTGCCATAGACACTCTTGTATTAAATTATTTAAACCCTCCCTTGTCTATGAAAAAGCAGAGACAATATATTTTTCTAAATATTACAGCAATAGAATTTGGCAGTTACTGTTTATTCTTACCCATCTTCTCCGCTTCTTGCGCGTCAATGAAGTTGCCTGTGAGAACGATCTCCATAGCCTTGGATTTGCCGACATATCGCGGCAGGCGCTGGGTGCCGCCCGCGCCGGGGATCGTGCCGATGTTGATCTCTGGTTGACCGAACTTGGCCTTCTCGCCCGCGTAGATTATGTCGCATAACATTGCGAGCTCACAACCGCCACCTAGCTGTAATATCGACACGATTGAAATATTATACACTTTATTACATGTATAATTGTAATGACCTTGAACTATAAGTGTATATTGTATACTAACAGCGAATCCATTAACAGCAGCAATGACAGGCTTGCCGCAGTTAGAGATGTCCTCCCACTCCTTGAGGAAGCCTTCCTTAGTGTTGGAGCTGTATGTATTGTTCTGCATCTCTTTAATATCCGCACCCGCAGCAAACGCCTTCTCGTTACCTTTAATTACATTAGTTAATTTAACCTTTAATTTTGCTGCTGCACTGCTTTATATTCATACTATATGAAATATTTAATCTTTCTTTCAATAAATAATTTAAGATTTTTTTAATATCATAAGTTGGCAAATTGAGTGAGCGGCCACCAGAAATTTCTGAAATACCAAAGTGACTATTGTCCATAGACATCGCCAATGGCAGATGTGTTGCCTGCCTTTATTCGACGGAGGAGGAAATGTATAGAAAGAAAATATTTTCCCTTCCTATGCCTTCCTATGCATCCTTCCATCAAAATCCACTTCCCATCTTTTCCTTATAAGAAAAGGGTCTTATAAGGTCACCGAAAGCGGACCTTAAAGAGGTCTTCTGTGATCGTGGTATTGCACTGGGCGTACCGGCTCAGCCACTGTTAAAATTTAAAAACAAACCAGTAATAATTATGGCGGCGATGCTCTGGTCAGCATCAAAATCGGTGACAGCTTTCCCCAGCTCCACGAAAAGCGGTTTGCATAGTGCGTTCAAAGCTTTAGGTCTATTCAACTGGATAAGACCTACATTCTTCTTAGTTCCCACCACATCTATCTTGATGTTTTCATACTGTGGTGCTGCAGAAAATATACAGTAAAAAATAAATGTAAAGATAAAGCTTCATTTTACCTTTAAGCAAGTTAAACAATATTAATTTTTGAGTTTTATTAGTTAGTCTACTATTTGTAAAAAAATTATATAATATACAGATATTAGAAAAGTACATAGATATATTTTTATAATTAGGCAGTGCCCTATTTACAGCCTATGTGTGTACTTTGGGTTTTTCTATCAGCATTATAAAAGTCAACTCAAATGATAAAACATTTTTAAAGTATTTTATCTTGTACAAATAATGCTTTTAATTACGAATGGGCTAAATGATTTGACTAATATATTGTCTTTAGATACAGTTACCTTTAAAGATGACTCTTTTAAGTTTATATGAATTTGTACGAAAAGTTATAAAAAGTAGAGCTCATAATTTTGATAGTGTGGGTCTTAGCTAGTTTTTAATTTGTTATAATCTTACCTAGTAACAATAAATCTTTGGATGACATTGCGAATATTTAAATTATATAATAGTTTTAAACTCAAATTTGTTTTAATATATAAATTGTAGGCAATTTTATTTTCAGTCATGAATCCCTTATCAATTTATTTTTTGATTAAAAAAAAACTTGATAACTTTGGTGAATTTTAAATAGATGATATAAGTTACTTGTTCATTTGAATTAATATTCTTGAATAGTTAAAAAATATGTAATGTCTGATAATTATTCCAGACTAGCTATTGCCAGCAACTTTATCAGTGCAGAATTAAAAAAAAACTATGTTACACACAAGGATATGATGATTATTAACTTCAATTATCTCTCTCTCTCTCTCTTAAGGTGCCTTTCCATTTAATGGAGGTTGGCTGTCAACTCATTGATTTTTGCTGGTTTTGTGCCAAGCGAAATAAATATCCGAAAAAAATCCATGCTGGTAATATTCATCCATTCCTTGTCGCAACCATGATTTCTTTCTTCTTTCAATTATTTACTTTTTAAATAATTGTAGATTGAACAATTCTCCTCTCCCTAAATGTTAATCAAAACCTCAAAGTCAGCATTTTTAGTGATAAATGAGTGAAATGTTTGTAACTGTTGAGATAAGAGATAAGGCATTATGTTTGAAGAAGTCAAGGTTGATAAATATCTTTATTAATTCTATTATTACATAATACTATCAAAAAAAGGTAATTGATTACAAACTATTTTGTTTTCAACATAAAAAGCAATTTTATTTCCCACAATACAGGCAACTAACAAAAAAAAACAAAATGATTTTTTTTCTTAAATGCCTAAACATGAATTACATGCCTAATATAATACCAATCAGACACATGTAAAATATTTTTGTCAGCTTTAACATTTTTTTAACAATAAGTAATTATCTTTTTAAATGATATTCAGTGAAAAAGATATTTTTTTTATGTTTTCATATAAAACAACACATGAATAAAACTTAGCATACAATATAAAAATATTTAATTCAATTATTACACATTCAAAGTTCTTTGAAGTTGACACTTTATATGGCAAAAAGTTGACCAAGTTACAAGTGATCAAACTTAAAGAATAAAAACTTATTGTTGCAAGAAGTGTGATATTTTATTATTACTAAAAGCTATAAGGATACCTTTTGTTAAAATTGTGTCAAGTATTTGTTTTGGTTAATTAAAATGCTTAGTATTAAATAATCGTTTTTTGTTACATGAGGCAAAAAGTAGATGGAAAACCAACCACGCTGCATGTCTGGTATGGTTAAGACTACTCTCAGCGAAAAACAAAAAAAAAACAAAATATAGAAATCAATAAAAACATTGGAACTTAATTTTTTAATGATTTTTGTCTCATATTGTCTTTAATAAGTTTAATAATTCTCAAAATTGGTTAAGTTATTAAAAAATTACAAACGTACCTGTGCTATAGAACTTAATAAAACCTGTATTTGAGAGAGTCGCAAACCGGCCGGTGTTAATAACATTTTTGCTTAAAATAACTCGAGATACAAGACCTACTGACGCCATTTGTATTTTTTTCTTAACTTTGAGAATACAAAAGTAAAAAGCTAGTAGTGTAAAAATACTAAAAAGTTACACCACTCAAGTTGTGAACTTTGATACAATGATGGAATTGATAAATGATAAGAGAAGGTGACAGTTTGATTCTAGCCAATTATCTGGTCAGGCGGGAGGAAGGGGGCACAACACACTTGGGCTCTACAGATAAATTAATAATTTTGTTTTCTATGGTCGATTTAGAAGGGCTTTTATTCTTTGACTGAATCGATAATCTGTTCTCATTGTCGTTAGCTGTCAGTGTCTAGTCAGTTATTTATTTGTTATTACGATTTGAAATAAAAATTAAATAGTTTATTTCGCAAAATAACTTGTTTGATATTTTTCTTAGTATTAAGTTATTTATAATAAATAGTAAGCTGAAAGTTACAATAATTGCATAATGGCTCACAGTAATATAAAATTCTTCATTCTGACCGGAGACCCTGGTTAGGTATTTACTTTTGATTAGAGATAGTATATCGTATAACTATTTAAATGTTTCTCCATAAGTGTTTTTACACATTTACCATTGTTGTAGGTGTTGGTAAAACAACATTAACAAAGAAAATTTTGGCTATACTTTCCGATAAGGGTATTAAAGTAGCCGGTTTTTATACGGAGGAAGTTAAAAATAATCGGGTGAGGGAGGGCTTCGACATAATATCTTTAGAAGGGAAGAGAGGCAGATTAGCTAGAGACCAGAGTCTTTTAAATGAACCAACGAAGTTTAAGGTTGGCAAGTATGGTGTTCTTGTGGAAGAATTTGAACAAATCGCTCTGCCATGTCTCGCAAAGGTAAATATGTGCATATACTTGTATGTCAGGATGAATTTAATACTTTTTAAATTATAATAATATACAATTAATGCAGTACCAATCAATTTTAGATGCCAGACAACCAGACATGCTTGATATTAGATGAAATAGGGAAAATGGAATTCTTTAGTACCTCCTTTAAATTAAAAATAAAAGAAATCTTTAGTCCCACATCAAACAATGTAGTCTTGGCAACTATACCTATAAGGAAAAGTGATGCAATCATTGAGTCTATAAGAAATAATAGTAAATCAAAAATATGGGTGGTAAGTTTACTTTATGCTAATATTGCTTTGTATCTCTAATGCTATCTTTTAAATTACATCTATAGGTTTCTTCTTTATAATGTATTAAAAACACTGAACTCTATATATGGACAGGCTATACATCATATTGTGTGCCTATTCAATATTTGCCATTTTAGGCTTCATGGTAGTGATGAGGAGTGAAAATAACAATAGAGATAGAATTAATTGTTAATATTTAAAGGTGGTTTTAAGTTGGTAAGCAAAAGTTTTAATTTCTAAGATACATGTCCATACCTTTAGAGGTCAGTGGTTTAAAATAAGAATGCATGATTTTGGATTCAAGGTCATTGTCATTTCTCCTCATTAGTTCCTTTACTATTATAGGAATTATTTACTTTTTCAGGTTACCAGAGAAAACAGGAATACAATACATGATGATATTTTAAATGAAATGCAAAAAGTCTTTAATTACTAAATAATATTTTATTCAAAACAAAACTCTTATGCAATCTTTTAATTCAACAACAGTTTTAGTTATAATCTAACAATATTGCTTAAACACAAAGTATGATAAGATTATAGCCTCAGAATAGTTTTTTATATGAATTAGCGACATGTTTAAGTAAAAAAAAAATTCTCACTAAATTTAAATTTGATATTCCAAAATATTAATTGAAAATTATTTAACATCTATTAAAGTTTTTTTATTATGTCATGTCATGCATTTTGTATGCTGTATTTTTGACAGTTTCTTAAGTTTGTCATTGCACACTATTCCAAAAAAAAAACCTATGTTATTGATGAACATACATCAAGAATTTAATTTGTACTTTAAGTTTAAATTATAGGAAGACCTAATAGGAAAACCTTTATCTCTGTGTTTTTAAAGAGCAAGATTTTTGTATGAATTTTTCAGTACTGAAAATCGTATATTGACTAATTTTACATCCAAGTTGACCATTGGTCAGCTATCATCACCGGAGAAGTCATCAAACTGTCCGTCAGATTCATATTGTATTGGAGGGTTGATAGATTTTTCATAATTTACCCGATCAGCTACTGGTACAGCATGCAAATCTATTGGACAAAAGTTGCCTTCCTCCATCTTTTGTTTTATGAAATACAGCCAACGTGATTGCAGTGGTTGAACATTATTATTATTGACATAGCATGGAACCCAATAATCGTCAGAATCCCAGTCTTCCACAGAGCTTGGTGGGCGGTTTTCTTTCTCCATATCAACTGAAAAGACCAAATTAATAATGAACTACAGCTTTTAGTGATAATATAGGACTTAATGTAAAGATTTTTAAAATGTATTATCAATTGCTTTCTACAATGTAAACATATTACAATATTAGTTGTTGCCCACCACTCCGTGCGCGGGTTTAAAAAAATTAGTAGCCTATGTGTTCTTCCAGACTATGTTCTATGATGCCATATTCATTCCGATATGTTGTGTTGTTGTGTAGATATATTCTTCATCCAAACATTTCTATTTATAATATTAGTTAGAAGTAAAATGTTTAAATTCGTCCCCCATATGTATATTTCACATTTTTATAGATAAAATAAATGTAAATTTAGTTTACTTACTATTATCATCATGAACATAGAAATCATCATCTTCTAATGATGATGATGAGTATACACTTTCTGGTTTAACATTTTCCTGTTTTCTGAAATTGAATTTATAAAGTGAAAAAAATGGACATTTTCATAGAGAAAAATGCTAGGCTGGTTTAAAAAAAGGCTTATTATTGTTGTGTGCATAGTACTAGCTATTAGTACAATAGATTGTTTATATGTGTGAAAATTTTCTCTTAAGCATCTATATAGACTTGCCGAAGTATTAAAATCATTGTATTTAAAATATTCCAATACAAATTAAGATTTACCTGCCATCCCATCTTCCTACAATATTAAGTCTCAATTTTTCTTTTTTACTTAAATAATCTTTATCACTTGGTTCATCTACAAAGTTTTCTGCTATATCTATTTCTTCAATACAACTTAAATCTATCAGTTGGCATAGATAGTTATCATACAAATCTAATTTCTTAAGATAAGGTAAAGTATGTATGTTAGGGAGTGTGCATAATTCATTGCCGTCTAGGCACAATGTTTTAAGTTTCGTTAATTTGATAAAATTATTAGGTAAATATAGAATATGATTGCATGACAATATGCATACTTCTAAGTGTGCCAAGTTACAGAATTCATCAGGAATACTAATAAGTTCATTTTGACTTAGATTAATCTCTATCAAGTTTTTATAAATATCTATATTAGATTTAATATCAGATATATGGGTGTAACTTAAGTCTAATATTTCTATATCACAGCATTCATTCAGACCATCACAAGGTATGTTGTTAATAGCATTAGCTGCAACATAGCTAATATTATTGTCACCTAGTTTAATATATTTTGCTTTTGGAAATGTTCTTAGAAGGCTTAGAAAATTATTTAATTTACAATTATATATCTTAATATCTTTTATAGATGTTTTAAATTGTATTAATTCTTCAAAGTAGCCGCATTTAAAACTATTAGTCAGACCATAATTTGAACTTATGTTTAATTTAGATAGTTTTTTTGGTAAATCAAACCATATCCATGCTGGTGGGCCTTGAAGATCATTGTTACATATATTTATATATTCTATGGTATGACAGAAACTTGGTGTGTCATCGAAATATTTGATTGCATTATAGGATATATCCAGAACAATTATATTTTTAAGTTTTTTGACTGCTTCGGGTACATTTTCAAGTTTGTTGTGCGAAAGATTCAATTCTTTCAAAAAAGGCGGTAACTTCATATGTTCGTCGAAATTTGCAATATTTTTGTGGCTCAAGTCCAGTATAGTTATGTTGTCTTTTATAATACCATTTTTAAGCACATTTGGCTTATAATTCGGCTTATCGTCGGTCTTTTCCATTTGCTTTATATCACTAACCTATATAATGGCAAATTTTTTTTAACATTTTCTTTTAATTATAGCTAAAGTAAACAATATAATAAACAACAACAGTATGATTAATTATACTCCAACTAATTAAATTAATCTATAAAACAAAATAAAGATTTTTTAAATTACGGCACGATTCTGACATTGACTTTGACATCTAAAAGGAAAAAAAAGTCAAGAACAAAGAACAAACAAGACAATATTGAGTGTTGCCATTTTTGTTAAAACAAGACCACTAAAACTTACTTAAAACCAGTATGACTTATGGTCCTACAAGAAGCTAGCTTATCTCTTTCCTAAGTTCCGGC